GAGTCTGCTTCTCCCTCTGACCCTCTTCCCTCTCATGTGCTCTCTCTCATTCTCTCTCTCTAAAATAAATAAATAAAATCTTAAAAAAAAAGAAATCTAGGTTGTTAGTTATTTTCTTTTGACAGTCTAAAGATATTTGATTGTATTCTGATTTCTGTTGAGAAATCAGTAGTCTAAGCTTTGCTCCTTTGAAGTTGATCATTTTTCCTCCTCTGATTTTAAAATCTTCTCTTTGATTTTCTGTAGTTAGTCCTATGATATCTTTCAATGTGGTTTTCTTTTTATTTATTTTATGTGGGTGTTTTTAGGGATACTTGAATCTATGGTTCAATGTCTTTCAGTAGTTTTTGAAAAATGTCGCTTATTATTTCTTCAAATGTTGCATTTGGTAAATCCTTTCTCTTCTGGCTGGGACCACAGTACACATATGTCACTCCTTTTCACTCTGTCCATCTGTTGCTTATGTTCTGTTTAGTATTTACCATCCTTGTGTCTTTCTAAGCATCTTGTTTTGGATATTTCCTTATCTATATAACAGTTCGTTCTTTCTTCAGCTGTGTCTATTCTGCGGTTAAACATTGCTACTAAATTCTTAAACTCATTGCATTTTTCAGTTCTAGAATTTTAATTTGGTTCTCTTTTATCATTTTTAGTTCTCTGCTACAATGCTCAGTTTAAAAGAATTTCCTCCAACATATTCAGAATACTTAAAGTCTGATAGCTTCTATTATCTGGATCCCTTGTGGCTCTGTTTCTGTTGTTATCTTGTTTTGTTTTGTTTTGTTTTTTGATCATACTCTCTTGTCTTATGCACTTGCTAATTTTTATTGTGTACAGAATATTGTGTTTGAAAATTTGTAGAGATATTTTGAGATCCAGGATGATATTACGCTCCTCCAGAGAAAATTTTTTTTTGCTTTTGGCAGATGGCTAGGGTGGATGATCAGTTCCAGATATTCTTAAATCTAATTATAGGGATTGAGATATTTTGAAGCAGGTACAGTCCCTGAAAGAGCTGGACTATTTCTTGTTTATTCTTACTCTTAGGTGCTGACCTAAGGGGTCCTGACCCAAAGAACTAGGGGTTTATCAGGGCTTCTCCTTTTTGGCAGTCATTGAACTCCACATTTTGTCCCTCTAGTTCCTCAAAACTATCAAAATCTCTACTCACTAGGGTCAAGTGGTGGGGGAGTTGGTGTGGCTATATCTTTAAAAATAGGTAGCATGAAGGATCTTCGTGGTGATTTTATATCTTGAATGTGGTGGTGATCACATGAATTTACACATGATAAAATTGCATGGAACTAAATACACACACACACACACACACATACATGAGTGCATGTTGAACTGGTGAAATCTGAATAAAGTTGGTGGATTATATCAATGTAAATTTTCCAGCTGTGATATTGTATTGTAGTTATGCAAGACGTTATTATTGGTGAATCTGGATGAAGGATACATGTCATCTCTCTGCATTATTTCTTTTTTTATGTGATAAAATATACATAACATAAAATTTACCATTTTAACCATTTTTAGGTGTTCAGTGGCATGAGTACATGAACACTGTTGTGCAGCCATACCCATTGTCCATTTCCAGATTTTTTCATCATCCCTAACAGAAACTCTACCCATTAAATAACAAGTCTCTATTCCCCCTCTCTCCAGCCTTTGGGAGCCTCTATTCTACATTCTGTTTCTATGCATTTGCCTACTCTGGGTACCTAATATAAGTGGAAGCAAACAAGATTTATTTTTTGTGTGTTTGGCTTATTTTATTTAGCATAATCCTTTCGAGGGTCATCCATGTTTTAATATGTATCAGAATCTCATTTCTGTTAAAGGTTAAATATTTCCTTTTATGTCTATACTACATTTTGTTTATCTATTCATCTGTTGGTGGACATTTGGGTTGTTTTTTTACCTTTCGGCTATTGTGAATAATGCTGTCATGAACATTGGCATACAAATACCTATTTGAGTCCCTGTTTTAAATTCTTTTTGTTTATACCTGGAAGTGGAATTGCCAGATCCTATGATAATTCTATATCTAACTGTTTGAGGAACTGCCAGACTGTTGTCCACAGCAGCTGCACCATGCACAGGGGTCCAATTTCTCCACAATCTCACCAGCACCTGTTATTTTCTGTTTTTGATTTTGTTTTTGTTTTCATTTTTTTGACAATAGTCACCCTAGTGGGTGTGAAGTAGTATCTCATTGTGGTTTTGATTTATATTTCCCTAAGGACTAATGATGTTGAGCATCTTTTCATGTACTTATTGGCCATTTGTATATTTTTGGCAAAATGTTTATTCTAGTTTCTTGCCCATTTTTTAATCAATTGTTTATTTTTCTGGATTATTTCATGCCAATCTGCAGTGATCTGAAGATTAAAAAGTTTAATAAAAAAATTATTTCATTTTCTCAGCCTTTCAGCTGCCTTTTCCTAAAAGCAGCTAATATGAGGGAACAAGTTGCCCCCAGTATCTTGTTTACCTGTGGGTTTCCTTCTCCCTCCACATCTCTGCCATATTGATCTTCACTGCCTTTTTAGCCCACCAGTGCCTTCGCACAGTTGTTTTAAACATCTTGTCCAGCTTCTTTAGCTGTTCTCAGGGGGACAGTTGGTCCACATTACCTAATTCACCATTACTGGAAGTCTCTTTTTGTTCAGCTATGGTTTTGCAAAAAGAAAAAAAATGTTTAAATAAATTTAAAAGTAATTATAAAAATCTCTTTGTAAAGCTTAAAAATAGCACTAAATCTTTACTTGGTAAAAATATTTCTTTGTGAGGTGGAGATGATATGGACCAGGTGTATGAGGAGAAATGGCACAGTTTGCCCTCCATTTTACAGTATTTCAAGAGAAGAAAATGTGCTTAAAGCATTCGCATTGTCAGAAAAAAAATACACTTATTTTGTTAGAGTCTCCTGCTTAAACATGATCTCTACAGGGAGGTTGTGTTGGGGGTTCCCAAAACTACCCTTGGTTTAATGATTCACTAGGAGGGTTCACAGATCTCAGAAAAATCGGCAAATGCAAAGGTTCATGGGATGAAGTCTAGAGAAAACTGCCAGGTGCACCCTTCTAAGTCCTTTCCAGTGGAGTCAGGACACACTTGATTTCTCTAGCAACTTGTGACAGCGTGTGTGAAATGTTGTGTGCCAGGGAAGCTGGTTGTCCAGGGTTTTGTTGGGAATCAGCACATAGGCACAAAGCCCCTATACACCCTTGGTTAGCAAAGCTCCATACGCCCAACAAGGAAGCAGGCATTCATTATAAATCACATTGTTAGCATAAATTGTCTCGACAAACTAGTACAGTGTGTACAGTTTGTCTAGTAGAGTACTAGACAAACTAGTACTCAAGACCTCAGGCATGCAGAACCACTCTTGTCAGACAGAACATTCCAAGAGCTCAGTTTCCAGGTGCCAGCCAGGAACCAGTCATGAAAACAGACCTTTCCTGAGAATGTGCCAGGTTTGAGCAACCGAGGCCTACTAAAAGTTAATGCTTTTCCACGCAGAGGCCTATTCTGACTAAACATGAAGAAGGAAGCGCCCTCTTACTCTCTAGGCTCTCACCCTACAGTATGTTTCTTAATGGCACTTATCACTATCAGACCTTGGGCTATCTAATCGTTTATTTGACACTAATTCAGTAACATGTATTTTAATTCTTATTTATTATCATCTTTTCTCAACTAGAATATGATGTTCCGTGAGGCCAGAGACTTTGTTCACTGTTGCATTCCCAGTGTCTAAAACAGTGCTTTGCCTATAGTAGGTACTTAACAGATATTTGTGGAATAAATGAATGAATGAAAAATATCACTTATGCAATTACTTAGGAATGCCAATAAAGTTGACTGGGTATAAATTATTGGGACATGCTGTTATCCCATGAATGACATTTTCTCATCTGTTTCTTTGTCTCTCCTGAACAGGTCTATAATTCAGTAGGCAGATCTTTCCCTCGAAGGTTTGTTTTGCCTTTACATGTCAGTTTGAATGACCCCGAAGGAGAGAACCTCAGCCCATTGTCTTATTCTTCAGCCAGTGCTGTGAAACAAGCTGATGGAAAGGTATGCTATGAAAGGACATTAGACAAAGACTTTGATTTTTAGTCATGTTACTATATTCCTTGGCTATTCTCCACAATGTTTTGTGCCTAATAAGTCTGATAACATTCAGCTGAGCAGGGTAAGGTCACAAGAACTGCAGAATTCTATCCTTTTTGTGTTTTGAAACAGATAGGCGCAGTTTTCTAATGGTTGTGAAACGTCTAAGTATTTGAGATTGTTATTGATCATCTCCACCTTTTAGATAATTTGCACTTACCATGTTATTGTTTAGCTGTCAGTGTTTTAGCTTTAGTAGAATAAAAAGCCCACTTCCACCTCTTAGGCCATTTGACAGCTTCAACACAAAACCTGGTATTTTTTTTTTTTTTTTTTTTTTTGAGAAAGAGAGAGAGAGAGTGCTTGTGCAAGTGGGGGGAGGGTGCAGAGGCAATCTTTTTTTTTAAAAATTAACATATACTGTATTATTAGTTTCAGAGGAAAAGTTCAGTGACTCATCTGTTGCATACAACACCCAGTGCTCATTACATCACGTGCCCTCCTTAATGCCCATTACCCAGTTACCCCATCCCCCCACCCACCTCCCCTCCAGCAACCTTGTTTGTTCCCTATAGTTAAGAGACTCTTATGGTTTGTCTCCCTCTCTGATTTCATCTTATTTTATTTTTCTTTCCCTTCCCCTATGATCCTCTGTTTTGTTTCTTAAATTCCACATATGAGTGAAATCATATGATAATTGTCTTTGTCTGGCTGACTTATTTCATTTAGCCTAATGCCCTCTAGTTCTATCCAAGTCATTGCAAATGGCAAGATTTCATTCTTTTTGATGGCTGAGTAATATTCCCCCCCGGGTGTGTGTGTGTGTGTGTGTGTGTGTGTGTGTGTATACACTACATCTTCTTTATCCATTCATCCATTCACCTGTTGATGGACATCTGGGCTCTTTCCATATTTTGGCTATTATGGACATTGCTGCTATAAACATTGGGGTGCAGATGCCCCTTTGAATCACTATGTTTGTATCCTTTGGATAAATACCTAGTAGTGCAATTGCTGGGTTGTAGGGTAAGCTCTATTTTTAACTTTTTGAGGAAATTCCATACTGTTTTTCAGAGTCGTTGTACCAGTTTGCATTCCCACCAACAGTGTAAGAGGGTTCCCCTTGGAGAGAGAGAATCTTAAGCAGGCTCCACACTCATTGCAGAGCCTGACACGGGGTTCTGTCTCACAACCCTGAGATCATGACCGGAGCCAAAATCAAGAGTCAGATGCTTACCTGACTGGGCCACCCAGGTGCCCCCAAACCTGATCATCTTTTATGTATATATACATATGTTGGAAGAGGAACAATGGAAAAAATGACTTAGAGTCTCAGTTCCCAAGCCCTGTCACAAACTCCTAGCACCCTCACTGACCTACACTGAATAAAATAAGTGTGAAAGTAAGCAATTCCTGCATATCTTTTTCGAACCTCTTTTAGATTTGGTGCTCTTATGAAAATCTACATCCTGAGGATCTAGAGGAGGAAGGAGGTGTTGAATTTCCCCAGATCAACTATGGCCAATTCAGTGGCAAAAAGTATCGTTTCTTCTATGGTTGTGGCTTTCGGCATTTGGTGGGGGATTCTCTGATCAAGGTTGATGTGGTGAATAAGACACTGACGGTAATGAAAATCTTTTTCCCTTTCTGAACTCTTTTTTAAAAAAATATTTTATTTGAGAGAGACAGAGAGCATGAGCGGGCTGGGGAGGGGCAGAGGACAGGGAGAAGCAGACTCCCCACTGAGCAGAGAGCCCTTCGCTGGGCTTGATCCCAGAACCCTGAGATCATGACCTGAGCCCGAGGCAGATGCTTAACCGACTGAGCCACCCAGGTGCCCCTCCCTTTCTGAACTCTTAAATGACCTGTTCTGTACTTTGAATTAGTTTCTGTTTTGTTAAAGTAGCTCTTTAGATCCTTTAATATTTAGGCAGTTCAGCCATTTACTTTTATTAAGTTTGAGAACCATGGTATCACCTAGGCTAGGGGTATATTCTGTCTAGGGAATCTTAAATGAATCACAAGCCCAGAAAAACGAGTCCCTGCATGATCTTATTTTTAGACAAATAATGGGGTTCAGGTTGTTGGGACACTTATATTTCAGGTTGATGGGAAATTGTACAAATTGTGTTTGATGGTGATGGAGTCTGCAGGTGCAAAATCACCCTGCACCCTGCCCATTCAACTCAGTGAGCCTGATTCTTTTACTGTTGGAATATTGTGTTAGACAGCCAAATTCATGCTGGGAGTGACAAAAGCTATAAAAGTCTTCTTGCTCATAACTAGCCTTCTATCAAATACTTTTTTTGGGGACTTCTAGATTTGGAGAGAAGATGGCTTTTACCCCTCAGAACCAGTGTTTGTTCCAGCACCAGGAACCAGCGAAGAAGATGGTGGGGTTATTCTCTCTGCAGTGATCACCCCTGACCAGGTAGATGTATCTCCTCATCACTAGTCAAAAAGAGAAGTAGCAATGAGCCTTTTGAGGATTATATTCAGTGATGCTATCAATAGTTTTTGATTCCAATACAGCACTTTCTCCCTTTTCTTCCTCTCCTCATATGTACATAACCTTTTATCATAATCCATGCCTTAATATTACTTGAACGTTCTATTTATAGAATCATCCTCATAATTTGCATTTGCATAGGAATTCATTTACAAACGACTTTCACACATGTCACCTTATTTACTCATCAGAACAGCTTTGTTGGATACCATTTTACGCACGTGGAATTTGTAACTTAGAGAAGTTGAGAGAGCTTGTGTCAGATCTTATAGTAGTAAAGCCCGTGTTTAAATCTTTCTTCTGATGTCTAGTCTGATGTTCATGCCACCAACTGTGCTGCCAGTTTCATCCGAGTGCCCCAAAAGTCTAATGTGGTGAGCCCTAGTGTCTCAATCATGTTGATGTCTTCACTTCTTGTCTAAAGCAGTCTTGTGGCAAATAGGTTGAGTACCAGCTTTGACCAGTTATTAGTGGGTGCCTGGGTTGTAGGATTCTGAGACTTTTTATTTTATTTTATTTTTAAAAGATTTTATTTATTTGACAGAGAGAGACACAGCGAGAGAGGGAACACAAGCAGGGGGAGTGGGAGAGGGAGAAGCAGGCTTCCTGCGGAGCAGGGAGCCCGATGCAGGGCTCCATCCCAGGACCCTGGGATCATGACCTGAGCTGAAGGCAGATGCTTAACGACTGAGCCACCCAGGCGTCGCCTGAGGCTTTTTTAGGGTTTGGTGAGAAAAGTGCCGTGATCGATTACTAATATCTGCCATAGGCTTAAGAGGACTTTGTCCTCATATCATGTACTTGCCACTCCTGTAATTACACCAGGGCAAATATCAATCTGCCTTGTAATGCTACCCTTTGTACAGCTCCAAAGTAACACAAAATGGAAACATTTCTAATTTGGAAGAAAAAATTTCTGTCCCTTAGGAGATTGAAAAGGGGCAGGTAACAAGATCCTTAAACTCCAAGAGATCCTCTGAAGGTAATTGATATAAACAACTTAATTTCTTCACTCTAGGTATGAACTTCTTCAGCCATAATGTCCTTCTCAGGCTCGCTCAGCCATTCAGCAAACATTTAGTGAATGGATGGATAGTCAAGGCACTGTGCTAGGTGCTGAGGATAGATAGGAAGATGCATAAGATATTATCAAAAGAATTTTCAGTATTGTCTTTCTGTTCTAGAATGAAAACAATTTTCTCCTAGTCTTGGATGCCAAGAACTTTGAAGAACTGGGCCGAGCAGAAGTACCTGTGCAAATGCCTTATGGGTTCCATGGCACCTTTGTGACCATCTGATGGAGCAACTCGAAACACTTGGAAACTAGCTTTAAAATGAACATGCTCTGTACAAAAGGGAGCGCAAAAAGGGCACCTTCCCTTCCAAACCACAGACACCTGGTTTTAAAATTTCTATTAAAAACAGAATTCTTGAGATAATAATGGTTTTATAATTTTTTAGAGCTCTTTCTTAAAAACATTAAACAAGTGTTGATACAACCTTTTGAAGAGAGTTTTAAATTTATATTTACTAGATAGATCTTCCTCTAGATAATAAACGTACGTGAAAGAAAAAGTAGAGCTGCGTCATTACCACCACCAGATAGGGTGAGTGACAGAGGTTCTCACACTTGAGAGAAAAAATACAAATAATTGTAGATAGTAAAATATGAATATAGCTCTAAAAAGCACCTCGTTTTTTCCCGTCACAGCCTGCCTGTTAGCACGGGTTCTAGGGCTCACAGAGGACAGGAAGCCAGCTATGTCATGCTTAGAGGTTTTCTTCCAAACTGTTTCCCTGCTGTCCGCAGATGCCACAGCAGTTGAACCACTGACTGCCACCTTCTGCCCTGCCCCCACCTCAGCCTTGGGAGGGTGTTGTTTTGAGGGACGTCACTAAAATCAGGCATTTCTTCTAATCTCCAGGTGTATAGTTCTCCAGAAATTGATGAGAAGTCAGTAGTTCTTCATTCAATCGGGCAACAGGTGGCACTGGAGGCCATATAATCTCCATATAATTTAATTTATAATTATATAAACATAAATATATATATAAATATATAAATTTATAATAAAATAATTTCTAAACCCCCTCTCTCACCCCCAGTTTTACTAACAGCCCAAATCCCGCTACATCTGTCACTTAAACCATACTCTTGCCAACACCTTCAAGATCTCTTGTTCCCTTTTCCTTCAGTTATACTTCCTCTCTCCACTTAACTCCAGCCTGGGGCCAGTTAAACGTCCTCGCTCCCTCTGCATGTTAAATGTTGCTGGGGAAGCCTCCTAGATGTGTAGTTTGGGGGCAACTGTGAACTCATGGTTCATGCACACCCCTGGACCAGCATAGCCAGTTTCTTCCCGTTATCCTCAGGAGTTATTACAGACATCATAAACCTTGTCCTTTTCAGTGAAGGGTTCCCACAGGTACAAAAATGCCACAGGTAATGGTTTATATTGTGGCAATAAAGTGAAAGTTCTAAGTTTTGTGTCTGGCTTGATGAAACACAAAACAAAACCAGCAGGTACCAGAATGACGAGAAGATGCCTAAGTACAGCTAAGACAGCAGATGTGGGAGCTTCAAGGCTGAAGTCATTGTAAGAGAACGTAAATCTATCTCACAGAAATCCTCAAAAAGGCATTGTACTCACCCAGACAAGACATGGAGGATTGTTTTAGATCTTATCCGGATCTAAAGGGTGTAGGAGATTCTAGCTGACTTCTGTGAAGTATGCAAAGCTGATAACGTCTTTCCTCTATAAATTCCATCCTAATCACAGGGAGTGAAGTTCAAACATATAAAGGTTAGTGGTACAATCATAAGATTTTGACCCAAGGATGCCCAAATTCTTCTGTGGCTCTGTCATCTACGAGGTTCTTGAAGGAGAAGACAAAAAAGGATCTATGACATTTTGTAATATGCCTATGCCCGGTAATCTAGTGCAGAGAGTTCTGGTAAAATTGAATGAGCATATGACTAAGTTTAAGCCTAAGCAGGGCCTCGTCCTCTCGCTAAGCCCAGCTCATCACTCAGCAGTGTGCAGAGACTCAAGGAAAGGGAGTATGTGGTGCATAGGGAAGGGGTAAAGGGACTAGGGCTTCCCCCTTGTGACTTTCTCTTAACTAATTACATCTGCAAAGACCCTATTCCAAATAAAGTCATATTTTGAGGTACTGGGGGCTCAACATTAATTTTGGGGGGACATGGTTAAATCCATAACAGGATCACTGAGGGTAAATTTGGTGAGTACCCTTAATAAAAACATTTAGAGAAAGAGCTCTGCAAATGTAATGCCATGTTTTACTAAAGTAATTATAGCAATTTCTCAGAAATTCCTTCGGCTTTGTATTTTGATTCTTAAGACTTCATTCGGAATGAGTCAAGTGTTTTATCCCCAATGTGGTCAATGCCCAGGAAATACTGTTTTATTGTAAGTGATCTTGGATGAGTAATTCACTTATCTGGGCCCGTGTTTTCCTATCTGTGAGAGGACTGAACTAGTTAATGTCTGGCTCAGATGTCTCCGAAGTTTATCTTTCTTTGACATTTTTTTACAGCCCAACGGGGAAGAGAATAAAAATATTTGAAAATGCGTTAATGTTTGCTACATGACAATAATTTTTTTTTAAAGATTTTATTTATTTATTTGACAGGGAGAGACATAGTGAGAGAGGGCACACAAGCAGGGGGAGTTGGAGAGGGAGAAGCAGGCTTCCCTGCGGAGCAGGGAGCCCGATGTGAGGCTCGATCCCAGGACCCTGGGATCACGACCTGAGCTGAAGGCGGACACTTAATGACTGAGCCACCCAGGCGCCCCTACATGACAATAATTTCATGCAGAACAGAGTATGTAGCCGGAGACAGGAGACATTTGAGAGAAATCAACATTTGGGGCCCGTATGCCTGCCACTCTCCTGATTTAATCTATCCTTCCCAGTACCTGGAACACTGCCAGCCTCATGGTTAGCTATTCAGTAAGTATTTAGTGAGGAAATGAATGGTGAAAAGAGGTGACATAATACTGGGAACTGCAAGTAGTGTGGATACTCCTTATAGGTAGGTGTGAGGAAACAAGATCCGTTCACTCTGGAGGTGACAGAGAATCTCTAATGTGTGTGTGTTCACGGCTGCATGTGTTCACACTGTGATAAATGGCTTCATATGTGTGGATGCTAAGGAAAGCTTGAGAATTTCCCCTAATAAGAAGAATCTTTACAAACAGTCCAAAGGTAGTATCATTTCCGAAAGCCAAGTGCTCCCACACGTGCCCTGAAATTCCCGCTCCCTTTATGCTATAAGTGGATTGGCCCTAGGGCTCATCTCAGAGTAACCAGCCGGTGGAGGTTACTGTAACTAGGGCTTTTGGAAGGGAGTGGCAGGAGCATCTTAAAGAGGTCCCTCCAGTACCCAAAGTGTGCCCCGGCTGACCCTAATGGCCCGACTTGGCCTAGGGCTGAGCAGTCAGTATAATGAAAGACACTAAGGTCCTACCCACCTTTTCCGACCCGCCGCTGGGAGGTTTGCTTAGTTTATCCCAACCCTGCTCTCCAAGAGACTCACAGTACCGGGCGCTTTACTGCCTCCAGACCAGCGGAGGGAGCCAGTCGCAGCGCGGCGCGGAGAGCGCGTTCCAGAGCGCCGGCAGCACTGCGCAGACGCGGGCCGCGCTGTCCGGCCGCCCCGGCGCCAGCCGAATGAGGAGGCTCGGCCATGAGCGCGGCGGGAGCCGGCGAGGGCTGTCGCCGCCGGGCGCGGGTGTCCCGCCTCGTCTCCTTCAGCGCGACCCACAGACTCCACAGGTGTGGGGGGGCGCCCACAGTGCCCACGGTGGGGGGGCGGGGCCCGGGTGCGCGCGCCCCCGGCCGCCCTGGCGCCACGGTGACGGTGACAGCTGGAGTCGACCAGAGGAGGCTGTGGGGCGCTGTAGGGCGCGGTGGCAAACGGAGCCGAGCGGAGGGCGCGGCCCTGCGTGCGGAACCCGAAGGCTAAGGTTCTCCCCTCTCCCCCCGGCTCGGTGCCCTGGAGCAGCTTCGGGGGCGCGCACGTTTGCTAGTTGAGCGCGAAGGGTTGCAGTGGCACCCAGAGCAGTTCGCCTGGCCCGGTTGACACGGTGTCAGACATGTGGTGAACTCTCGGCAAGTGTGAGCGGCTCTGAGGTGTCAGGAGCGCTAGCCACCATCGCCAGTACCGCTGCAGCAACCCAGGTTCATGCCCTTCTTACCACAGGTGTCACGAACCCAGGCGTTCCCTTTGCAGCCCTGAGAGCAAGGAGCACAGCCGGGATTTGAACCCGGAGCATTCATGCTGCTTGACTGCACTGAGGAGTTGATGTTGAGGAGAGTTTTGCCTCTCATTAGCAAGCTCCGCTCTCAGCATACGTTTCCCTATCTGTAGAATGAGGATAATAATTTCTAACAGGAGTCATCCATTCCCATTCACTGGGCAGGTATTTGTGACCAGCGTGTCAGGGCTTGTACTAGGTGGCAGGGATGCAGCAGCGATCAACACGTACCTGTCCCCACCTTCTGTGCGGAGTGCACGATCTGGCCAATTTTGTGGAGGGTACAGTGGGATAATTTTGTGCCAAAGCTTTGTGAACCGTAGCATTCTAAATGTAAGTGGATGAGGGTGGGGGGGGCGGAGAAGAAAGAGAATCTCAAAAAGGAAGGGGTGGTATAATAGGACGTTCACACATAGAAGGCCTCACTGAAGATGCATAGTTGATTGGACGGGTGTAGACGTAAAAATTCATTAAGAAAATTGTTTTCTGCCCAGAATACAGCTGAGCATTGTAATTTTAAATTTTTACTTAATTTGAATACTGCTGTATGGGTTGGTGAAGCCGTCAGTGGGCAATAATTCAGGCATAATAATGCAAGATTGTTAAAGAGGAGACGTAGTAGGTCACCTAATTTTTTTTCAGGAGAAATGAGCTTTTTTTTTTTTTTTTTTAAAGATTTTATTTATTTATTTGACAGGGAGAGACATAGTGAGAGAGGGCACACAAGCAGGGGGAGTTGGAGAGGGAGAAGCAGGGTCCCCGCTGAGCCGGGAGCCCGATGCGGGACTCGATCCCGGGACTCCAGGATCATGACCTGAGCCGAAGGCAGTCGCTTAACCAACTGAGCCACCCAGGCGCCCCGAGAAATGAGATTTTTAAGCCACTTGAAGACAAGCGTCTTCTTTTGTCATTGTAAGTCCTTGCTTCATTCAAGCCATGCCTACTATGTATAATGGGTACCCAGTGTTTGTTGAGTTGAAAAATAGAAGGGCCTTGAGCAGATCATTTGGAATCTTGCTGTGGAACAAGGATGTGGACTTTGTTCACGCTCATTTGTACATTACAGTAGCCTAATTAGGGGGCATACACTGGTTCCTGACAGAAAGTGGAATAATGAAATCAAGTTGATTTATGACTTCATTTGGTGAGCTAAGATAATAAATTGTGAAGCTCTTCAAAGACTAGAGCAAATAATAAATGTAGGGAACAGAGAAGGTGTCTGAACTTGTGTCATGTTAATTTTTTTTTTTTTTTTTGGTCAGCAAATCTCTGAGTAATGAAGAAAACTTGAAACTGTTTGGGAAATGCAACAATCTAAATGGCCATGGGCACAATTATAAAGGTGAGAGAAAAACTGATGAAATTTTAGCTCTTTCAATAAGGATGAAAGTGTGATCAGCAAATATAGTCTAAACGAGTAAGAAACTTTATGGACAAAGCATATTTGAGCCTTGAATGAGAAGTTACATGGAAGTTCAGAATGAAAAAAATCCGTTGCCTTGGTTGGATGTGTCTTAAATTTTACCTTGCAAATATCTGCTCTGTTAGAGATAACAAATGGTTTAAACAATTTTTTTTTTTGCCTTGGCGTTAGTATACATAATGAGGTTCTTTTGGCACCTGCTTCCTTCTAATTAGGTATTTCTGAGGCTAATGTTAAAATTAGATCGTATTAGAAACATTAGATTGTATTCTTTGAGTAAATAATGACTGACAAAAGGGAAATATTGACTAGGAATATGCTGTATGCTGGGAAAATAGGTTGAGTCTAAAACTGCCTGCAGTGTTCCAAGAAAATAATGTATGTGAGTGTAGGAGACTTGATTCTTTGAGATAAAGCTGATATCTCAAAAAACAGCCCTGTGAGCATAGAGTATCAACAGCATATAGTTGGGTAGAGTAAAAAGATTCAAAAGGTGTCAAAAGATCAGAATTTCTAGTTTAGTTACCACCTCTTACTTGATCTATGATTATTTGTCACTTTTAGTTTGCTCACTTACCACATAATACCTAATGGTGTTTGTACGGAGCTGAAAAATATATATAAAAGTTACTAATTTATAAAACACTCTGGTCATCATTTTTCAAATGCTTATACAAGCAGTTCTTTAATTTACAAAATATTACCATAAACTGTATGTGTTTGTGTGATTGTAGGGATCAGAGTTTTAGGCCCAGTAGTGGTTTTGCTTGCTGAGAAAGGTGCTGCCCAGCGTTGGGCCAACTTGGTGTGTAGCTGGATGTCTTCCTGTACATTCTACTTTTTCAGGCAGTGATCGAGCAGCATCTCAGTCCTACCTAGTGGACATTCCTACCTAGTGCGTTAACATTATAAGCTGAATGTACACCCTTTCTGGCTCTGGCTGGGATCCTCTGCTTAGCCAAAGCTCCTGCTGAGCTTCTTTGTCTTGGCCGAGTCTTGCTTTGGTTGAGAAAAAGATCTTAACTAAAAGAACAGCTATTTGAGGGAAAATATGAATAGAGCTTTGCAGGATAGAGACCTAAGAATTTATGTTGTTAACTTGTGCTTGGGTGTTATCTGTTGAAAGTCATGTGGTTTTTTTGGTATTCTGTTTTCTTTCCCATAGTTGTGGTGACGGTGCATGGAGAGGTACGTGCTGAAAAGATCTGTGTGATTTGTCCAGATTGCTGGGCCCTCTCAGCCAACATGATGGATTCTGTGTTGAAAAATTCTGTTCAAATCAATATTGCTTCATTGTTGTCCTTTGTGTATGGTGAGCTGCTGCCATTCTAGGCCTTTCCTCTCCCAAAGGGTTATCTTTAATCTGCTCTATGTGGACAGGTAGAAGAGCAGTACCATGAAAAGGGTTCCTGGAGCACCTGGTGTTTCCATAGTGAGATCGATGAGTGTCCCGGGGATGAAGGCAGACATGGGCACGATTTCTGCAAATTGTACAGCCTTTAATAATTTAACAGAGGTTTAAATATGAAGAGCATATTATAGTAACATTCACCTTTGTTTATTCTTTAGATTGATCCTGTTACAGGAATGGTTATGAATTTGACTGACCTCAAAGAGTATATGGAGGTAATGTCATGTTGGATGCTTATTACGTACTGTCCTCTAAGTGTATTTGGTGGCCCCCTTATCACTTCCCCAACCAAGTATCTCCAGAGGTTCCATGACCTTGTGAGTGGAATTGGGTGTGGGAGTAAGAAGTAGTTGGAGGAACTACTCTCATGTTTTTCTAAAGGTGTTTGGGTGATTTAAGGGAAATAAGTCACAGTTGTATTGCAATGACGGGAATAACCTTAACAGGCTTGTTGTTCTTGTATTTCTTGCTGGTGTATACTGATTTCCTCCATTTAACAGATTCTGCCTTTCTTTCAAGACACAGCTTTCTCCTTGAGGCTTTCTTTTCCTTCTCTGGATTTTCCTTATGCCTTTGATCATAGATTTTTAACATTACCCTGTGTTATTCACTCTAATTTTATCATAAACTCACTGAGGCAGTTCACCATAGGGATAACACAGAAGAAGGAGTTTAATCAAGGACTTGCTGACTGTATCATTATAGAAATCCTGCATCGTCAGAGACCTTAGAGATTATCTAAACCAACTTCTTCATTCCATAGATTAAGATTGAGAGAGGCCGAACAGTTCACTGACTTGCCTTAGGTTGTGTGGTTAGTCTTTTACAAAGTTGGGAGTGGACTTCCTTCTATCCAGCTTTGTTATTATTCATCATTTTACCTGTTCAGTTCTTCATTTAAACTCTGCTCCTTACTTTTTTTTTTTTTAAGATTTTATTTATTTTATTTAACAGAGAGAGCGCGCTCACGTACAAGCGGGGGGACCGGCAGAGGGAGAAGCAGACTCCCCTGCTGAGCAGGGCTTGATCTCAGAACCCTAGGATCAGGACCTGAGCCAAAGGCAGATGCTTAACCGACTGAGCCACCCAGGCGCCCCCTCTGCTCCTTACTCTTGTTCTAGAATCTGACATTTGTCTCATAAAAATGCTATTAATGATCATTACTGCTTCCGAGGTACTTATCATCCATATATTCAGCAAGTTCGCCCGCTCTGCATCAGTCTTCGAGCTAAGTACCAGGAGTACACAGATGAGTGTGACATAGCCCTTACCCGCAGAGTGCTCATGTTACTTTTTTAGGAGGCAAACGATAATAAGTGCTCGGTAAGTTTCAGTTGAATAAATGAATAAGAGGGGCGCCTGGGTCACTCGGTTGGGCAACCGACTCTTGATTTCAGCTCAGGTCATGGTCTTGGGTTCCTGGGATCAGCCCCGAATCGGGCAGTCTGCTTCAGGATTCTCTCTCTTCCCCTGCCTCTCCTCCCACGCATGCATGCGTGGTCTCTCTCTCTCATAAATAAATAAATCTTCAGAAAAGAAAAGAATAATCAGTGAACAGATAGCAGTGTGTTTCAAGTACTTTAGGAAAGCTATAAAGACAGAATTTTTGCATTTATTGGGAATGTAAAATATATATACACAGAGTGCTGTATGATACAGGACAAGAGTATAGGAAATATGAGGCATTCCATGCGTGTGTATGACCACGTGCTAAAGGAGAGGTTCTGTGTAGAGAACTCTTCCCCACTTTTTGTACCTGAGGGACACCATGCAGTCCAATCAGTAACAGTGGCTCATCGTGGCTTATAGAGTAAAGTCAGAGGGGCCTGTGGAAGAAGCTTCAAAAGAAAAGTTGGGACCTGAACTGGAATTGAAGAGAAAACAGGTATTTTCTTGATATCCGTGTTGGAACTGCCCTTCATTTGATCTGTTTTAAAGGCTGTTTGGTTTAAGGCTTAACTCTTTTTATATGGTTCTGGTTTTGCTCAAAAAATGATTATTATTATTAATGTACCCTTCTGAGAACCATACCATTGGGAAATTAGATTGTTTCACAAGTGCTTAGATTTTGTACGCTAGCTAAAAGTAAGAAGTGAGAAAGAATAAGGCAATTACTGTTCTTGCCACTGACAAGGGAAAACATTATGTTAATATATACACGTATTAGGAAGCAACAGTCTTCACATATTTATATACTTTTTCTCCTAAGAGTCCAAGATCATTCTTAAATTACTCCTCATAGCAGAAATTTAGAACTACTTACATAATTTCACTCTTAGTCTGCTCTGTAAAATGTAGTACTCACTGGATCCTTGTCCTAATGACATTGTGGTGTTGGGCTGAGGAGAAGACTGTATGGAGAAGTATTTTTGGTAATTAGTATTTTTGGTAAGTTTATGGACAGAATTCAAGAGGCGTTAAACTCAGTTCTGAGCTGCAATGGCTGGTTACAAGAAAGCTCCAGTGAGTTCTGTACTTTTTGGTTTCTTACCTCTTTGCATTTAGTAATGAGGAGAACCAGTCATTATGGAGATCTGGGCCTTGCTTTATTTTTCATCCTTAAGCGTTGCTTTGTGAGACATGGAGTACTTACAAGTACTGAGTTAGTGGCTAACTGATGAGTTATGGTTTAGAGGCAAAGATAGAACACTTTGGAATTTGAGTCCTAAATGGAATGAGTGGTGTTTTTCATTTGTTTTATCTATAGGAGGCAATTATGAAGCCCCTTGATCATAAGAATTTGGATCTGGATGTGCCATACTTTGCAGATGTTGTAAGGTGAGTGTTACCATCTTGCCTTATGTAGATAGTAAGAAAGAAGAATTGCTGTCAACATTTTATCTGACCACTGTGTGATTTCTGAAGTTTTGTTTTAACATTATCTTTTAAATCTAGAATTTCTGTTCTCTATAAATATCAAAAATGAAATTTTGTTTATTTGCCTTTGATCTTCTCTTCTTTTTTTTCTACAGCACGACAGAAAATGTAGCTGTATATATCTGGGAAAACCTCCAGAAATTTCTTCCTCTGGGAGTTCTTTATAAAGTAAAAGTGTATGAAACTGACAATAATATAGTTGTCTATAAAGGAGAATAGCTTTTAGGGGTTAATACTGTAGAAAGACTAATTTCTTTCCATATTTGAAAAAGGTCTTTATCCCCTGGGACTATTAAGAAGTCGTCACACACTTGTTATGCCTCTACACTGTGTTCCGGAGTGCCCAATTGATTGAAATCGTTGTGTGTAAGACCTGTTGTGAATTCAAATCTGTCCTAAAACCAAACTTGTAAAACATCCTGAGTATCATTTAGAGAGTCTTTTATTTATAGATTAAAAATCACTTCATTTTCAGTAAAATGTTGTGTGGAATTTAAAAGTAAAATAAATCAATTTTTGTTTTTCCGTTATCTCATTTTTAGTATTCATTTTTCTCTTGGTATAATATGAATGGCAAAAGTGTTTATAAGACATCGTAGGTGAAACTTAAAAAAACAAAAATACAGGTGACCACAGAACATGTACTTCTTCCTTGATTACTTCTCAGGTATGTAGGGACACAAGTTTATTCAGTGAAAATGAGACACACAAATCACGTTGGTGATGCATTGTAGGTGGATGTACAAGGATTGATGAAAATACCACTTCAGCGCATGTTGTTCAATGCAGTTTTGCACGTCTTATTTAACTATGAGTTGCTAGTGAGGATTAGCACGTTAGAACATTTGTTGGAGTATCATTAAACTATTTATTATGTATATTTGTCCATGTTTCCAGACCACCTGAACAGTTTTAATTCAGAAAACTGAAGAATAATCACATATATCAAATCCTATTAAATTAACATGAAAAAGGATATATTATACTGTAATGTGTCTCTTATATACAGTTTTTCCTGATCGATCCCATTTTGTTCTGATCATTAAACTTACACCTGCTTAAGTTGAACTATATTCTTGGCATCTGGTTTCTTTTCCTCATAACTAAATCTGCAAGAATGTATTTCCCTGCTTTGCACAAAGAACTGTTCTCTCTTGTGTTCTCATTTGTATCCTAAACTTCTTAAATGTAGGGTTTTATTTTTCTCTCCACATAGCAACTAGTACACAATAGATTCTCAGAATGTTGCTGCCTGAAAATAGTAAAAAGACTATGCAGTTATCACTGTACTAGAAAAATTTTCAAAGGAGTACACTTTTATTCTGGAGAGTTAGTAACCACAGGGATTTTATGATCAATCTTGATAATAATGCAGTGCCCACTTAATTAAATTTGAATGTGTTTTAGTTACCAGACACAATTTTTGTTATGTATGCTTGTATTCTGTATTGATTACTTGAAAGACAGGATTTTTAATTCCCACAGATACCATGCAAGGTGGATATTATTCCTGTTTTGCAGATGAGAAAATTTAAGTGAGTTTAAGCCGCTTACCTAAGATCACTCAGCAAATAAATAGCAAACTGAGTGTATGACACTCAGAGTTTGACTCCTGAACACAGACTCTAAAATATATAATAAATAAAATATATGATGTATGTTTGAGGATTTTTTAAAATAGATCTAATTTTGTAGATCTGATACCACATTAGAAAAACATTATTTTTCATAGTAGCATGGGTACTCCAGATATTTGCTGTTCATGAGTTGCTTCAAGAGAACATTATTTTTTTTTTCTCTCCTTAAAAAAGTGAGAAGTCTGTCTATCTGTCAAACTGAATGGGTGAGTAAAGGAGGGCAGGACCAAAGATAGTATGTAGGTGATTTTCTTATGTCTTCCTAGAACCTGCTGTCAGAGACCCTATTGAGCTGTACTGTAATTGTTGCTTTACCTTTTTGTGTTCTTACTGCCCTGAATTCGTTGTGGGCAAAGTCTTTATTCTAAGCAGAGTATCTGGTAAATAGTGCTCAGTAATTTTGTTGTTGATTAAATATATGAATGGCATATTGGTAGAAACTATTGAAATTTTGTAGTGCCCTATACATAATGGGCACTTGGTAATGTTTCTAGAATTGAATAATGTGAGAGTTTCGAGGCTTGAATTCTGGTCCTTGTACTGTTATTAGTCAGATGTGTCACTCTCCTCTTAGATCCTCAGTCTCTTTACCTGTAAAATGAATGCTTGAAACTGATGCTTTCTGAAGTTGCTTCTGCCTATTTTCAGATTTTATATCTCTGTGATTTTATTTTATTACTTTTTAAAATATTGTATTTATTTGACAGAGAGAGTGCACACAAAAGCAGGGGGAGCTACAGGCAGAGGGAGAAGCAGGCTCCCTGCTGAGCAGGAAGCTCAGTCCCAGGACCCTGGGATTATGACCTGAGCCAAAGGCAGATGCTTAACCACCTGAGCCACCCAGGCATCCCCATTTCTGTGATTTTAAATACCAAAGGAGTACATATTAAATTAGACAAGGAAAAAGATTATCATGAGGTGGTAAGTTTTGGAAAAACTTAGTAGAGGAGGTTATTCCTGAATGGTCCTTGAAGTGATGGTGTAGGGAGGGTGGCCTTTGGAATTCAGGAGAAAGGAGGGAATATGTACTGAACAGGTACACTTCCATTAGTGAAGATGCTGGTGGGAATGGACCAAGTGTATTTGGGATAGAGCGAATAGATTAATCTCAATAGAAGGGTGATGAGAAGGAAGCAACGGTCTTCACATATTTATACATTTTTTCTCCTAAGAGTCCAAGATCATTCTTAAATTACATTCTTAAATAAAACAAAGGAAAAACACCACTCATTCCATTTAAGAATCAAATTCCAAATTCCAGCAGTGTGGAAGGGGGAGCTAGCTTAGAGATACAGGATGGGGACAGCCTGGGGGCCTGGAATATCAGTTTAGTTTTTATCCTTTGAGAAATAGGGAGCTGTTGAAGTTTTTCTGTTTGCTTTTTAAGGAAGATCACCAGCTGGACACAGGAAAGGAAGGAAACCAGTTGCAAAGCCATTGTGGGGATCCAGACATTAGGTGATGGTGGCCAGGAGCTGGCGGAGCAGGGGCAGTGGAGCGGCAGGGAAGGAGGGCAGAGCTAACATGATGTGGCACCTGCCGTGGCCTCAGGCATTTTGCTCAGTACTTTCTTTGTTACCTCAGGTTATCCTTAGGACCACCCTGCAAGGGGAGTGTGCTGGTTATCTACCACTACATAACAAATTACGCCAAAATAGTGGCTTGAAACTACGTTTATCATTATTATAGCAGTTTGAGTGTGCGGGGTCACTGACGGGTTGCAGTCATCTCCAGGCTGGATTACGAAGGGTCAGCTTCCAGCTCACTAAAAGGGTTGTTGGCAGGATTCAGTTCCTCATGGGGTTGTTGGTCTGAGTCCTCAATTTCTCCCTCCCTTTCTTGCCATGGGGGCCCCTGCCTAGAGCAGCTTATGACAGGGCAGCTTGCTTCCTCAGCATGAGCAGGCGAGAGGGGAGGGAGAGAGAGAGAGTGCCAGTGAGCGAGCACGTGCCTCAGCACGGTGGAGGTCACAGTCTTGTGACCTAATCACATTTCTAGATTTTGTTCCTTAGAAGCAAGTCTCTAAAACCACCCACACTCGAGGGAGGGGATTGCACATATATTCTAGTGTGCAAAGTATGACGAGAACAGCAGGAGAGGAGGCTGGGGAGGTCAGTGGGGGGAGGGGAGGCCTGTCATGCCCTTCTTGATTCCCCGGAATAAAACACATTTCCTTTTGCGGGAGTGAAATATTCAGGCAGTAGTGGTTGTTTCCGATGGGCGTGGTGGGTTTGTGGGTAGACATACACAGATCTTTAAAGCATGATTCTTGAAATTAAAACCAACTCTAAGGTAAGAAGTTGAGAAAAATTATATTGACCATATCACTATGGACAGAATGACCAGAACTCAATTGTCATTTATATGGCCTGAATTGATGTAATCATTACCAGTGGGTTATAAAAACGGCCAGAATATGATCAGCTGTGTATATGCAGCCACTCATAGCCTAGATCTAAGGTAAGTGTCTATTTCGTTGTTTTTTTTAAACTCCAAACTTTACATTCCTCCTGGAAATAGAATTATTTTAAAGATGGGAAACAGATTGTGCTCATTTTGCTTTTGTTTTGTCTGGGATATTTCTAGCCTCCCTTGCACATAGAAAAATCATTGTTAGTTTCACACAATTTAACTTTATAGCAAGATTCTGTTGAAAGACACTTTTGGAAACTGTCCCAGATAAACACTCTGTCCACATAGCTGCAGAGAGAACTGCTATCACCACAAATGAAAAGTCGGGGAGGGTGGTCTGTCCACTGGAAGGATTTTCAAAGCAGCAATTAGGCTTTCAAGTAGCTCATAAGTCGGTTTGCTTCCTTCAGAATCTATCCACCCAATCCCACTGGCATTCTGTCATCATCGAGACAGGAGTATTAATCATTAAAAAAAAAAAATTAAAGCATTGACCTTTCCTTCCTCCCC